TCGATCAGCTCCTCCTGCACATCTCTACTGGGGATGAGCCGCAACCCAGGTACATGCCTTGACCGGATACGAACTTGGGACTTTTCAGTCCGAAGGCCGACACTCTATCCACTGAGCGCAACCGGTTTCGGCCCCATTTTGTTTTTTACTTCAAAATAAGATATGTGCAGTGTGCATAGGAATTTGTTCATAGTTTTTTTTTTTAAACTATAGCCTTGGGCTTGAGCAAGAGGGACAGTGAACTGGCCCCCTGTTTAAAAAGTTTGAGGACCCCTGGACTAGACCCTCAGTGAAAGGGAAGACTAGAAGAAAGTCAGATAAAATTAAAACTTATCTGTCTGGTATAGGCTATCATATTGAGGCATCATAGATATTTATCCTGGAAGGGAAAAAACAGGATGAGCTTCACAGATTTTTAAATATGAAATCCTTACTAGGGTCTATGTCATTGGCCAAGATCCTCGATGCCCCACTCATCTTAGCAGCGATAGCCGTAGCTCCGCATCCACTCCCGAGATCTAACACAGATTTTCCTCTGACAACATCAGGATTATCCAAAAGATACCTAAGTTAGAAAAAATGGGGAAAGCATGGGAGAAATTCAGTAGAGCTGTTCAAAAAGAAAGTAATTTCTTTGGGTTCAATGAACAAAGAAATAATAGAACTTAGCAGAAGAATTTGGTCTGATCTTGGCAAGTTTGGCCTGACCAGAGTGAGATAAAATGTCAATCTTAGCTGGACAAAGGTGGCAGAGAGAGGACCCAGTCATCTGATTACTCTTCAGCATGTGTGAAGAACAGTACCACACATTTACTAATCAGGCGCTTCAAGTCAACTGTTTAAAAGTTTTGAGCACTTACTGTGATCCAGAAATGATCAAGAACTAAAAATCCAGACAAAATACGACTATAATCAGGACACAGTACACTAGAGCCAAGATCCAACATCTCCTTTTGATTGTTCATCAGAGTGGTTTTACGTTGCTTGAATTGTCTTATAATGACCATCAAAGTCCAGTTCAACCAGAGAATTTGGACCAGGGCTAAGTAGTTACCAAACAATTGAAGATGAGTGGGAAACACTGACATAATGAATTTCAACAGACACTTGATCTTAGTGTTAGAATAATGAAGAATAGCGGGGACTATGGCAAAGTAGAGGTGTGCATGCCATGTCTAAAGGGACAGCTGCTACCCATCTTCAGCTAATTGTTGCCACACAGAAATCCCATGTTATCAGAGATGATTCCTGTTTTTCAAATCAATGCACATTTTTACATGAAATCTCTCAGGTTTTAAATGTTAGCAACTGATTTTTAAAAAGAAGTGTGTTGAGAAGCCAGAGCTGGTGTATTGAATTAAGAATATGCAGAGTATGGCCCGGTGAATGAAGAGACCCAAGCCATCCACAGCAGAGCAGCAGGTGGCTAGCTCCCTCTGCATGGCAGCTTCCACTTTGGGGAGGTGAAAACGGGGTCATTTTGACTGAAGGTGGTTTCAATACACCCACAAAGGAAATAGAATCACAAGATTTATTGCTTCCAGATCCCAGAAGCAAGGAGGTACAATGAGCTGAGGGGAGGGCAGTCTTCTGTTCCAGGTCACAGTGGAGATAGAGAGGGAGATGCACAGGTGAATTGGGCAGAGGTCACTAACTTTTCCAGGACTTAACTCTAAGTGGTTATTCTAAAAGGTTACCTGGGAAAAGCAAATTGGGAACTTACAGCAGGCATCCTAAACTCAGATCCTTTAAAAATGCCCAGATTCAGTGTCAGCAGGGTTATCACACTGTAAAGCGCCTAGGCAGCAACTCTCTTCTCATCACAATAAGTAAAAGTGAAACAGAATACATCTGTGGGTCACCAGTTTGTGTTCTGATTCACACAGCCTCTTAAGGATTTGACTGTATGTTTGGAGTTGATAAACAATAACTTTAATAGAAAACAGTCACTTATAATGCCAGTACTTTTTAAATATGATGTGAGGAGTAAAGCTTGGAAATTTGGCAACACAACAATCAGAAAATTGAAATTGTTTGATGCCACCTGGAAAGCTTTCCAGTTTTCTCCCAAAAGCTCTATGTTTGCATTTTGCTTTTCATTTAAAACTATATATAGCATTAACTCTGTTTGGCCATACCATTCATGTGAAAGAGAAGTCCTTAGCCTTTTTGTTTTCCAGCCCTGTAACCTCAAGGCATAAACAGATGAAATCATTTACCAATCCAAGAGCAAAGACTAGATTGAAAGCTGAAAGTTCTAGTCTTTGTTTCAGCGGCTGTGTTTTAATGAAAAGCATAGTGTGAATGTGAGAAAATTTCCTAAAGAAGAGCTCTGCAGTGTGGAGAGGTGGAAGGAGGGGCCTTACAAAGCAGATTCAAGTCGTGAGTTCACCTGAGATGTCAATAAACCACTAGCGAAGAGGGAGGCCTTGAGCAGCCCTTTCACAGTCTCCTTTCCTTACCGTGGTTCTCAACCTTCTGGCCCTTTAAATACAGTTCCTCATGTTGTGACCCAACCATAAAATTATTTCCGTTGCTACTTCATAACTGTAATGTTGCTACTGTTATGAATCATAATGTAAATATCTGATATGCAGGATGGTCTTAGGCGACGCCTATGAAAGGGTCGTTCGACCGCCAAAGGGGTCGCGACCCACAGGTTGAGAACCGCTGCTTAGGACCCTG